TGGACCAATTTAAACGAAAACTTTAATTTTGGTTTCAACAGTTTTTTTTGATGATTTCTTTATATAATAAAATTCAAAGTTTCAACGTATGAATCCAAAGAGACGCACGGTTACTGTTATGTTTGTCAATTTTTATTTCTGTTTTGGTGAAAAATCTCTTATGGAAACATTTTGTCGTACAAATATATATTTGTACAACATACATACAGTTTGTACATTTTCACAGATTATATGAAAAAAAACTGTGAACCGTTTATTGTAAAAGTATACTCCAGGATTTTCGTTTGGAGGGTATTTCAATTATGAAAAATCAAACATGTTGAAATTAATATTACAATATTGTATATATACCATCTTTTTGATGGAATAAGTAAACCAAATATATATGTAGAAAAATTAAAAGATGTATTTTCATTATTAACACACATAGATGTATATCTCTTACGAAATCATGAATTTAAAAAATATGTATAAAACGCATATATATTACATAATCATCCTGTATATCTTAACGATTAATGAGGAATGTTGCTAAAAATTGATAAAATAACCTGCAGTTATTGATTAAATATTGTGACGATGAAATTCACGAACATCTTTGGCAATGCATAGCTTGGTCAAGTTGCGCTATGATTTTTTTCATCTACAATTGAAAAACAGGATTAATTGATCTACGTTTCGACAAAGTGGTAACTATTTTTAAAATAATGATGAAATACATGCAGTGGTAATATCGTATTTCATAATACCAGCAAGAACAAGCGGGTATTATCTAATAAGCTTTTAGTTAGTTTTAGACAATCTATAATGTCTGATAGAATCCGAGATAAAATTTTAATATTTTAAAATTGATTTCGCGCTATCGGTCGTAATTTTTCTTACTGGGACGCGTATATCATTCTATTTGAATAGGTAAAAGGAACGACGTAACATTATACATTGATCTAACTTAAATGTTGCTACAACTTATCACATTGATAATACGTATTGCAATATTGCAACATATTGCAATATGTTGACTTTACTGAGATTAACGATAACCCTTTGGAATAATATAGAAATGAATTAACCGGATATCATTTTACACAACCATGTAAGTAAAAATATAATTAAAATATACTAAAACGCGATTTCTACACATTCCGAAATAAAACATGAAATATATTATTTATTAATAATCGTTAATATAATAAGAGTAGTAAATTGAGTAATAATTCTTGATATTACACAGAGTGAGACAATAACTATTACTACCTTGAATATCTTTAAAAATCAAATAAATGAATATTTTATTAACGGATAGAAAACAAAATATTTTGTTTTACAAGTACTCGAAACAACAACCATTAGTATCGATGCAACAATTTCTGCTGGATAAATTTTTCTCATACCCTCACATTTATTATCGATGATATTCAAGATAGTAATAGTTATTGCCTCACCTTTACATTGTAACGCGACTCATAAAATGTCTACAAAACTCACTCTGGCACCATTATATATTACAATTTTCCGAGGAGAATCTAGTTATTTCAGAATGATCGCAATATCTGGTTTGCTTAACTATCACGGCTTAATTTTCCAATCACTATAAATAAATGATATCCATCTCGTTAATACACAATTACATAAAATCCATATTGCACATTGCCATTATCTCTTTTGTTCGTTAAAATGCAATGCACGACGTTACAGATCACTAACATTTTATTCAAGCGTAATTTACGATTCATTCAAGCATCATGTGAAAGCCGATGTACGCGTGAAACTTTTAAGGTAATTAAATGCGATGTACCTATGTTGTAGATTAATTTACAAAATGATTGCTTGCTTGCCGAAGCAATTACTTACCACTGTCAACGCGGCGGTGGAGACGGAAATATGCGGTAATACGTGGCCACTATCTATTCAATTTGTCGAATATGATGATATTAGGTCAAACACGGGTTTAATCTCGTTGATGTAGCGGTATTCTTGTCAACAATATTACGACTTTCAGTTCGTAGCTCGCAGTACATGCAATGCAATTTACATGTGTTAATTTTAATCTATCATTCTAGCAAGCTGTCTACGCGTGTCTCGTTTGGCTAGCAGCCTTCTAACGATAACCTTTGATTTATATTCTTCACTCTAGCTTTCATTTCTCTAAGAATGTCCGTGGCGAGGTCGTCGACGGTGGTATACCGTACTTTGAAGATATTAAATATATCTATGAGAAACTCGATCACTTGCTCCTTAAAGTAGTAACAGGTGGAACGCAGGTTGCTCTCCGAGCCCAGGAATCCCCACACGAGCACCGGGGAGATTTGCTCGGAGATCGAGTAGAAATGCGCCAGGAAACCCTGGTCGTACTTCAGCATTTGTCTTTTACCCATGAGGACGGACCACACCGCCGTTCCTATCGCCTGCAAGAGTATCAATTATTACCGACTGCGTTGAACACACGGGACAAGTTGAAAGAAAAAAAAGATCCACTCCTTATAAGCGCGTAATATTATTTAACATCAAGTAATATTTGTAGAATATTGATAGATGTTATATGTCCATCCCTAATGACATTAACAAATCAATATTATTTTAATATTTAATAATATTCACATAATATTCAAGGAATATTGCGCGCTTATAGGGACATTTCTCCTCGCGTACTTACGGTTTCCCTGAAACTAGCGGATATCCATCGGTTTTGGAGTATCGCCTTGATGGACGAGGGCGGCTTCTCCATCTCCTCGAACGCGTCCAACAGTATAAAGTCGATGAGAACGTCGTAGAAGTTCATACACTTGACACCGCGAGCGGTCAATTCCTCCTCCATGATGCTATGATTGCGCGGCTCTTTCAGGAATTCCATCATGCGTTCGTAATACATCAGATAATCTTTAGGATCCTAAGAGAAGAATCGTCGGGTTTCCACCGACGCAAAGCTTCGTTACATTTGCCGAGGCAAATACTTTAATACAGCAGTTGTAAGAGAACTATTATCAAAAAATTGAAGTGTCCGTACCCTGTCTGCGTACATGATTAAATCGCTCATAACTTGCCGGCCCATGTCCGCAATAAACGCCGTCGCCACCGGCAAATTAAATATTTTGGTGTAGGCCTGTCGTAGGCAGTGCACCTTCGCCAAATACTCCACGTCCGATCCGCACTTGACGAGCTCCGTGTGCATTCTCCTGCAATAATACGTGCAGCGTCACGTGACGCGTCCAACGACGTGTACGCGAAGCGTGTGTACACGCAGACAACGGCGTCGATTTACCTGCAGGGAATACCATTGTCCTCGTGCTGTTTAAGAGCTGCATGATACAGCGCTTGCTTCTCCAAATGTGGAAACAACTCGGAGAATTCCTCGAACTCACGCAAATCCGCGACCTGAAGTAATTTTAATAAGCCGTAAGTAAGCTGATTCACCTCTCTCTCTCTCTCTCTCTCTCTCTCTCTCAGTCTCTCTCTCAGTCTCCGGCGCAATTTTCCAGTAAGTGAGAAACGTTAAAAATCAATCTTGAAACATTGATGATTCTATGCGGATTTCATAAACATTTCGACATAATATTTTATAAATGTTTTTAAATTGTTACTTGATAATATTATATTTTCAAGTGTTAAAATTACAGAGTAGAAGCATTATTTTTAATATTTTTAATGTTTCGGTCAAATATTGCCATCAGTAACGTTGTGTTAACGATTTCTCGCTTACTGTGCTCTTATCGGGAGGAGCTGTCAAAAATAAGCCGTTACCCCGTCACGCGCGGATTCGAAGGAATCGGGTGACGATGCGGCGTCAGCTCTTTCCCTGCCAGATATCCGCGTCTCGTGCGAAGGCTTGCGGCTGTCGAGACTCTCCTCGCTGTCATTACGGAATAACACGGAGTGCTGCCAAAAAATAATACGAGTCGTCAATTATCGTGGATCCGTAGGCCACAATCCAAACAGCATAACGTCCGAAATCGGGGCATAAGACGTCTCTTAGGCGTCTCAAAAACGTCTTGAAGACGTCTCATATCGCATCTTATAAGCGACTCCAGGACGTCCGAAAGACGTTTTTTTGTCCCGACATTTTGGACATTTGTATTGTCCGGGAGGTCTCTTGCGCGAAAAAATACGATACATTTGTGTACACATAAAAATATAATCTATGACGTATGTGCACGTGTATATCTAATTACTTATATTTGATCGGGCGCTCAGATTACTCGAAGAAAGTCGTGAACTTCCTATGCCGTAATGTCCGCAACAATTCCCCCGGCCTGGCGTCGGGTCAAGTGACTCGTTGCGCTAATTACCCCCGGGGCGGTTGTCATTTAAATTGGATTAATTCCCGTATTTTTTTACCAACCGGCAGAAAGGCAATTGATGAATGCAGCAGAATGGAATGGCCACATCGGGTGACCACATCGTCGTACGCGAAGGACGGTTCATGGACCGAGGTGACTCCGAATGTTTCTCTGAGTCACCGTTCGGACACGGTTCAGAAATTTTCAGGAATGACGGACGGACACGAAGGCCGCACCTGATCAATGAACAACATTTCCGCCTGATCCTGCATTTGATAGCCGACGTCGAGCAGTGTCTGGACATCTTTCGTGAACGCCGCGTCGGCCTTGGTCTGCAGTGCGAGGGTTTCGTTGTTGAAAGCAGAGCTGAAGGCGGTGAGCGCGTCTTCCCAGCAGTAGAGGGCCTTTTCCAACGCCTCGAGGCCTGCGATTAGATGATATCGTTTAATTTTAGTCAAGGAAAGATCAATGTTCGCACGTATCGCTTTTTGCGATTTATAATCACGTACATGAAAGCATAATGAAATGTACCCAGTAAGCGAGAAACGTTAAATCAATCTTTTGAAGTTCATTGATTCTATGTGGATTTCATATAAACATTTTAATATAATATATTTTAATAACATAACATATTGTTAACAATTCTTAACACGTTGTGTACAATATTAAGAACTACATATTTGAGAACGTTACGTGTCGCAAAATATCATTGTAATAACATATAATGATTTATTGCTTACTAAATAAGATATATAACTTGAAAATTTAATGATTTGAAAAGCGAGTTTATACTTAGTGTTCTCAGAAAGGAACATGCGTGGATAAATAGATTAGCTACTAGATTCGTCACTGATAACAAAGTACAGTAGCACTTATACCGCTGTGCATTAATCTAATTGCACGCCAAACGTAATTATAGATTATTTCTGTAGATATTTTCTGTCGCTGCAGGAGTTTGAACCCAATTTCCGACCAGGAGAAACCACACACTTTTGCCCTCAATTGCTGCAAGAGTGATCACTTTTCCCCAGAAAATGAATGTCCATACGAGACCAGTGTCAATATATATCACCCCGGAAAACCAACTAACCAGTAATATAACATCAATGTTATAATTTGCCGCTCAACGATATAAATGCAACATAACGCATGTGTTACATAACAGTTATCTTATTGAGTGGGAAATTATAATATTGATGTTACGTTACGGTTACTCTGATGGGAATATTTTGCTGAATACTCTCTTTCTCATAAGGAAAGTTCGACTGTACTGTTGAAATTTATTGAATTTAATTGAAATCTGCGTACATTGACGGAATGATAATGAAATGGGGCGAGGGTCAATCGAGAGTGAATTTCAGCATAAAATTTTCAGCATATCTCCATCAGGATAGTTGGTGTTTGCTGGGCAGAGATGTTGAAAAGAGAAAAAAGAAGATCGCGACTTTGCGAATAAAGAGCAAGGGTAATGCGTGCCACTTGAGGATGCAGGACTCGAATTCCGAGTCGGTGACGCCACCCTCTCTCTCTCCTCTTTCTCACTTTAATCTTTTTGTAAGTCGTCACAGAGCGTTCACCAATTTGCTACAACGGAAGTCCGACACGCCGGGTTAATTCAGAAGGGAGGTGGGGAGAGACCAGGCTACAATGTCCCGAAGGCTGGCTCATTCATCATTTTCAATCTGTGCTTCCACCACTACACATTGCGCACCGACAATTATACAACATTGTTCGACGAATTCAGAGCACACGAAAGAAATCGTCGTCGTCATGACGTCTTATACGATTGATCTCCTCTGAATTCATGTATTAAACGGAAGCCGATAGACGACGGCGCGTTTCTCGGTAAGTACTTGAGATTTCTAAGATAATACGCTCTACGCCCCGGATTGACAATTATGAATAAAATTTATCCACTCAATCTTTTTTCCACTAATTTCAAAAATTATCTCGTCAATGAATATTTTACTCATCGGATCTCAAATTTTTGAATTAATTAATAATTCTAGAGACATTGCTCATCCACTATTAAGTTTTATCATTGTATTTTGAAATTATATGTAATGCTACACAGCTTGTATCTATTTCGTTCTCCGAACGACCTTCTCAAATTCTTCATTTTGATTTTATTTGTAGTTTCGAAGAGAGTTCAAGTCCCGGTTTTAGCGTATAAGAATTTCAAGGGAAATTCAAAATCGCGATGTCGAACAATTCTTTCGATCGCGCGCCACAGACGTCGGGATCCGTACGAAAATCTGAAAGGAAAACTGTAGGAAGACTGTCGAAGGGGACGACCTGAGGAGGAGACGAGAGGTCGACAAACTCGACGGTATCGTTCAACCGGATGAAATAGTAAACACCAACTTATAAATGCACTTGTGGCTAATGGCTCGTGTCGAGAAATGATATAGCATCAATTGAGCTTGAGAGGAGATGAAATCGACGCTTCGTACTTCGATGCGGCCCGATTTTCTTACGAAATATCGATCGCGCGCGGCGCAAGCCGGTGACTTGCAGCGACGTTAATTTCGTCTCCGAAGCGACTCTTGAATTTCGTACAAGGAAGGACATATTTGTGCCGCCGTCTCGACCCACCCTATACGCGCGACACGCGCGTCGATCGTTTGCGCGACCCGTCCGCTCGTCAGGGCGAAGTAGAAGTCGCGTTCCTGAAATTGTACGAGGAAGAACGGGGGAAGGCGAAAGAAAACACGACAATGCGCGCGTCCCGTATTACACTGGCTTGCCCCAAAATTCGAGCGTTCACCTGATCTCCAAGAGAATCGCATCCCAGAAAACGTTAAATTATTAAGATGTTTTTGAGACAATAAGACGTCTAAAGAACATTCCTGAGACGTCCTTTAGATTTGCCTTAGTAAGCAAGAAATATTAAATTTATCGCAAACATTTAATTAATCTTTCAAAATATTGATTTTATGTGGATTTTATCAATATTTTTATATAATTTTTTTTATAAATGTTTTTAAACTGTTAATTGATAATATAATATTCTCAAATATTAAAATTATACACAGTAAAGAGTTTTCTATCAAAAACATGTTCATTGAAATTATTTTGTACAAAACTCGGGCCGCATTATTTTAACAAGGTGAGTATATTAAAAAGTCATATGTTAACAAAATGAATATGTTAATTTAACATATATTTGTGTACTTTCTAACATATTCCCCGTGTTGGAGTAACACAAGAATTTTATTGGACCGTTTTTAACACATTTTTTACTGGGCATTGTAGAAATATTATTTTTAACATTCGCGTCATATATTGTTAACAATGACGTTATATGCAACATTAAAAATTACATATTTGAAAACGTTACGTGTTACAAAATACCAATATGATAACACCGTGTTAATGATTTCTTGCTTATGCCTGTTTCTACTATCTTGGTTTAAATCTAATCGACGATTAACTGAACGAAATTGATCAATCGCATTGGCCAGTCAGTCGAACAGATCAATACTGTTGGTAAATTCTATTAAGTTAATCGTCTATTAAATTTAAATTTAAACCATGATGACGCGTTGTACATGCACATGTGTACATTTTGCGCGCATCCATTTTCTATGACCAGCCTAGAAAAAGACGCATTTCCTGAAAATATTTTTCCCTGCGAAATTGAATTCGTCCTCACACCTATGTGTGTGTGGGTGTGCGTGTATGTGTGTGTGAAGACAGAGCGCGTCTTCTTACATCCTGAATACCTGTTCTCCCTATCATGGTTTCAATTTAATCAGCGATTAACTGATTATATCAACAAAACTGGCCAATCGGCAGCTGATCAATACGATCGGTTAATTCTCCCGTCGTTGTCGAGCCAATCGCCGATTAGATTTAAGCCATGAAGCTGGAAACGGACGTGAGAAGCGCATCTTGATCCAAAAGAGAAGGAATCAGACCGTGTACTTCGAGATGATAATTTATCTCGGTCACCTCTCTCATTCTTAAGAAATTTCTCCCGGTTATAAACCCATCGGAAATTCAACCGTGAGAATAAATCATTTCCCCCAGTCGATATTCGACGGGAAAACGGTGCGGTGAGCGGCGGCAGGAAGGTGACATAATCGAATAGTTCGGAAACACGGGGCCGCACCGGGGCACCGGGTTAAGTCTCACGGAAGAGTTAAGTCCGGGCGCCGCGCGATCCTCCGGGCCAGCGTCGATGCGATCGTTACCGCAGGATAAGGGGGGGTCGTAGGATGGACGGAGGGATGGATGCCCCCCGGAAAAACGCGGCAGTGCGACGCCGTTGCACGAGAGAGTCCGGCGTCAATAATACACCCGAGCGTGACGCAACCGCCGAGCCGGCCGGTCATTGGAGGATGCGTCATCCAATGGTGAGGGGTCGATAACGGGGTGCCCTTGCGATTCACAGGGCGCGCAAACGCGACACACAGCCGCTTTGAAGTTAGCGCCGTTTCGCACCGAGCGAGCGCGACTGCACTCTCTTTCTCTCTCTCTCTTCCTTTCGAAGGCGCGTCGATCGCGCTCTTTGTGCCCGATTTTGCGCGTCGCTTGTGCGCTTCCTCGAGGAAACCCTGGATTTACGGACGGCTGTCTCTTCTCGGCGCCGAGGGGGAGAACGAGAGACGAGGAGGGAGTTCACGAGGTCGAAAAGCGCGAGTTCGGAAAGATACGCGGTTGCGGCAACGTGCGCGCTAATTGCGCATAAGGAGGGGGGGGGGGAGTCGGTCCTCCGGAAAATTCTCAAGGGGACGATCGCGTCGGAATGAAACATCAGCGTTCGTGTTCCGACGCTCGTGCGCTCCGCGTTCGCTGCCCGAGTTACTTCGAGGCGCGTCTCGAGGCTGAGAAACGACGGAAAGGACGAAGAGAGGACGAGGAAATTCGCGAGGAACGTGGAAGGTGAGTTCGAAAATCGGCGCGCGACGGCACTGTTGAACACGGTGGACACACGCGACTCGCTCGAATTTCCCGACGCGGAAACGACGCATCGCTCTCTTCCGATCTTTTCCGACGACGACGACGTCGATCTCGCTGTGATCTCGCGCGTTTCGGGAAGGCTCGCTCGTTTTTCCGTCGTTTCGGAACTTTGAATAATATACCCTGGATATCGTTTTTCAAGCGAACGACAGTGGGCACGGCGAGTGGGGGGGCGCGGCCAATGAGAGCGCGGCGAGCGCGAGGAGAGTGGCGACGGGAGGCGCGCCAAGTGACGAGCTCGTTCGCGCTGGCGTCAGTTATTCGGCAAACGCGTTCGCCTCGGCACTCGGCTATCGTCGATCGCGTAGCGCGAGTTTCCGCAGCAAGTGTTTCCGTATTCTCCCGGTTTCGGCCGTTGACACGCGAGCAGTCCCGACTCGGACTCCGAGAGTAACAGAGAGGATCCTTTTAGAGGCACCGGTGCCTATGATCGACAACGTTGTCGCGAGGTCGTGGTAGAAAATCGGAGATCTCGGCCCTCGAGAGTATCCCAGCAAGTATTCAACCTTCGCACGCGCGCGTTATTTGGATTAAAGTTGAGAGTGCCGACGAACACAGGCCGAAGACGCGATCGAGGTGAGTATAGAGCGAATCGTGAGAGTTCCGTCGGAAATGCCCCAAAGACAGATTCGTCTTGGCGGGTGTTTACCCTGAGAGAAAGAGAGAGATTAATAGACCTGATGCACTGATAACGCGATTCGAGGGCAACTCCGTCGCAGTGAGCGGCGCCATTCAGGACCAACGAAACGCCGTGCATTCCGACACGGTCGTTTGTCACGGCAGACCTACTATGTCGGAAGGATTCGCCCTGACCCCCTCCGTTCCTTCGCCCCGGGTCGTCCTTTCCGCGCCAGCTCGTGCACTTCCGCCTTTCTGGAAGTAGTCCCTCTCGCAAACGCAGCGTCGTCTCCTTCGTGCAGAGGGAAATGTGTCAGATAAGCTACACCTGAGAATATCACTTTTGGGAATTTTGAGGGGTGGAAGAATATTAGCCTCGTCAGGTCAGCCGATACGAGTGTTCCATTTTCGGCGCGGCGCCGACGGCGGGGATTGTGAAAATCGATATTTGATAAATTCAGACCGGTGTGCACAATCCGGTGACGCACTTCGGACCGGTGCGCTCAGGTGAGACGAGAATATAGAACCCTCTTTTTCCGAGGGAAGGAGAGAATAATAATAATAATACCCGGGAATCCGATTATTTCTGTATTTTCCCGATAACCCCTGAATATCCCGCGCGTCTATTCTTTTCGCCTGTCGCTACTCGGGCGAGATCAATAGAATCGATGCCGCCGGCTGCTCTTATCCTTGGGGAAAAGAAGNCCCCCCCCCCCCCCCAACGAGAGGGGGCATCTATCGTGAGAGAGATCGGGAGTTTCGCCGACAATATCGAGGCTTCGAGCAGCAACATCACCACCTGGTCGCGCGTACCTTGTTTATTGCGCAACGGCCGTCATAACAACGCGAACAAAAATTGACCGACCGGAATCGGGACGGGTATGGGAGTTCATTTGGAATCTCGACGGGAGTCCGACACCCGGGGAACCAAACTGCATCCTGCATCGTTGTTTCCGTCACTCGGACGACGATGACGGATGTCCTCGGAAGCTCGGAAAAGGTTCGTCACGGCGAGATCATTCCGGTCGATTGATAATCGCGGAGTCAGAATTTCCTCGTCGAGGATCGGCGGTTAAATCGTGCGTTCGCACGTTTGAAAGAGACACCTCACACGTGAGGCGCCCCCGAGCACCAGGAGTCGGCTCTCTCGGGCCGGATCGCACGGGCTCGCGGAATTTAGGCTGGCACAGGTTTCTCTATGGGGGTCAAGTTCAGGGGTCAACAGCTCGGAGGTGGTAGTAGGTGGGTTGGTTCCTGGCGGCGGTACCCACGAATAAAAGTGAATGCCGCGGCGGCGGCACGTAAGTGCAACGATAGCGCGCGGCCGCGTCCGCGCCGGCAGCAGCAGAGCGGCAGATCGATGGAGGTGTGCCTGGTGAACTTGGAAATTCCCCTAGCACACGCGCACTTCCTCGTCGCTCTCTTTCTCGCTCCGCCGGTGTCTTTCTTCGCCGACCGGTGGTGTTTGCCACCGGTATTCCCTGTGTGTGTACAGCACACACGGGGAGGATAACGCACGCCCAGGTATAAACGCGCGGATGCGCTCACGTAATGACCGATCGAGAGAGAGAAAAAGAAACGGCTAATCCCGGAGTCGTGTTCCGCCCGGCCTCGGTGATCGCCCGCCAATCGTCCGCGATGATTCACATTGCCCGAGGGGGCGATACACTCGGCGTACGCGGGGTGGCTGGAAGAAGGGGGAGGGAGAAGGATCCCCCGAGAAATTCGCGGCGGCGCGGTTTCCCACAGGCCCTTCCTTCCGCCCTTTCCGAGATTCGCGAGAAGACGAGGCCGAGAGAGAGAGAGAGAGAGAGAGAGAGAGAGAGAGAGAGAGAGAGAGAGAGAGCAAACTGCGTCCGAAGCGATCGGGCACAGCCTGACGTTTAAGAATGATATCAGAGAAATTGAATAATTTGATTATATAGTGCGCACAATGTATGACCCAGACAACGTAACGTCTGAAGCCGAGACATAAGACGTCTTATCCTACCCTTCTGCTCAAGCCTCTACACAGAGGAAAAGGTTTCTTCAGATCTTAGCATATCTATTTATTCGACTAAAATTTGTTTCGTAGAAGCAACATATGCTAAATATTATTGGTTTGAATAAACATTTTATTGTCTCGTTCGAGAAAACTTTATTATTTAACGGGGAGAACGCTGTTATTTGAAATAGAATTCATTTTAACTATAAATAAAATATCATTTGATTACAATAAGTATGTAAAATGAAACGAATGATTTCTTTATAAGAAAATTATCCTTCGTTTCAAGCCAATTTTTTATTCAAGGAAAAAATACGTTGAAGTTTAACAATCGTACTTAATTATTAATCGAAACATTAGTCTCTTCGTAGCATGCCAATGATGAAATTTGTTTGGATGCAATAAAATTGATTAAATCCGAAGAAATCGTTTTCCCAGTGTACTTGACCGGAAATCTTTTTTATTTCCCTGTTACATTTTTATGTAGTGAGTGAGCTCACTCACCGAACAGAACAGCAAGGTTAAAGGTGTCTTTAAGACGTTGGAACATAAAACATCTTCAAGATATCTTTAGGATGTCTTATGTCCCGGTTTTGGACTATCTTGTCTGGGAATACTCGTCTGATACGTGATATCGGGAGAATCCAATTATATTAATTTTCATCATTGCAGAATTGCGTTTCCTCCGTGTGATTGACAATTTTCTCGATCGGCTCTAATCCCCTTCGGGAGTAATAACTGAAGGCACGCCGTCCTTCCTTTTTTTTTCGGTTCGATCTATATTGCGCGGAAGAGGGTCGCTTCCCGTTGCGTGACTGGAGAGGTCGTGATACAGTTACGGGATTAATATACACACACGCGGTGAGTTTCCGCGATAACAATTGGCGATATTACGAAACTCCTAATATTATTGCATTAAACCCAATTTATACCGCGCACGATACGGCGCGAGGATACCGATGTCGGTGTTTTAGTGTAATAACGGGCATTGAGTAACGTTTCCGAGACGGAGTGAGTCGAGTCACACCTCGAAGAGAAGTCGCACAGTACGAGGTCCCGAGATCGGAGGAAAGAGAGCAGGAGACGGTGGACGGGGATTAGTTGTCTCCTCGCCTTCGCTCAATGGGGACTGAGAGAAAAGCACGTAATTGAAACCTATTTGGCGCAATACCCTCGCGATGTGTGGTAATTATAGAGAACGGATAATGGTTTTTCACAGAACTCTCGCCGTAATTTTATCCCTCTCGAACTACTCAATTATCACTTGCGAGGAAACTCACGGAGAGAGGCATTCCTCACCGATTTCGATGAACCGGTGTAGATGTTGAAATCTAGGTCGAAAGAAGAAACGCGTATTTTCTTATACGCGCCCATACGCACTTTCAGGGGATAAAACTGCGTTGCGTTGTACTTTATATACTCTGGACTTTAGCTGCCACGGCTGCATATTAACCGTTTTAGTCGATCTTGCCTGTAAACTCACAGACGCATATACTTATGGAATTATGTGTTACGTTGCAGCCAATGTTTTTCCGAACTGCGAACTTCCTACATCATATATACATATATATATATATACATAGCCTATATATTATTATTTATTAAAAAGAAAAATGTCCGATGTTTCACAATTTCTGCTAACCCTGCTTCTTCATCCTCGTCCGGTTATTGCATATATCCTCAATCGTGACGTCAATCCGTTTATTCTTGCTTCATTATTTTTATCTTTGTCGAATAATGCAACAAGCACGATATATGTGTAACCTAAGAAGTTCGCAATTCAGGGAACATCCTGTTGGTTACAGTGTAACGTATAATCCCAGGACTGGAATATAATAAAAGACTTCAACGTGCTAAAAACTCGTCAAAATCGGACCGGGACGACACTTACGTACGTTTCCTTCGTCCAGTGTGAGAATTAAGAGGCGTTTAAGTGAGAACGTTTATCTCGTGTGGCTACCGTTTGCTATTTATCTGCCGGTTAATCTCTCGCGTTACTTTTCCCTTCCGAGATGCGCACATCGGAGGACTTTTAACTGCGAGAATATACCGCGTGCGGTGTGCAGCATCGACCGTTCGTTCGTTCGCCAATCAATTATACATTTCGCCCCGCTCGCTCGCTCGTTATTCTCCTCTTTCGCGAGCTCAAGACCGCGGGAATGCTCGTGGTGGACTCGTTTTAGAATGACGGATGCGTTACACGGTGCATTTACGCAAGTGCTTTCAGCGTAATTAATCGTAGGTAGAGCTGCAGGGTGTGTGTGTAACCCGATTTTCGAGACCTACTGGAGGCTACTCCCGTGCTCCACGTACGTGAGAG